TTGGTGCCTTGTTTGTGAGAAGCACAAACAAACTTCAAAAGACGTCTAAAGATTCATGTGTAATAGTTTCAGAAATTGATGATGTCTCGTTTGTTTGTAGTTCTCCCGAATCTTACAATATCAATAGTGATCATTTATTCTCTCAGACGTGGTTTACTACCCTTAAAAATAAAAATGATTTTTAACCTACCAAAATAAGTAATGAAATTGGATTTTTATATCATTTTCTCCTTGTGCAAGTCAACACATGCATAATTAAAGGAACTACAAAAAAACATTGAAAGAATGTGGTCTACCAAACCAACACCCTGATAAAAGGAAAGAAAAAGAGAACACAAAAAGCAAGAAAGTTTCAGGTTTGACACAGTTGATCCACACACTTGTTCCGTAATATATATAACACAACCCTACATTAAGATCAATATCTTGCACCACAAGACTTAAAAAAAAAACATGGAGATCAGAAGATCAACAGAAGAAGTTGAAGACAATCATGTAATGCAGATTTCAGGAAGCAATGTCATAGTTCACAACATGGAATTCATGCCCCAAGCTTACCTCAGAAACCAATACTCATCCGAAATCGACATTCATGAAGAAGTCGTTTCCTCTTATCCTAATGAAGATGCTCCTCTTCCCATCTTCCTCAAGGTTCCTCAGTTTCTCTCTTGTTTGCTTTTTTTGTTTCGCGCTTACTCATTGGTTTGGCTTCTATTCTTAATCTGCAGTTTGAAGATGTGGAGTACAAGGTGAGAAGCATGCAAGCTAGCTCAGCAAACCTGGTGAAAACAATGGTGTCAAAGGTGGTCACACATACAAATCCAGATCCAGATGGTTACAAGCACATTTTAAAAGGCATAACAGGAAGCACGGGTCCTGGCGAAATTCTTGCACTAATGGGTCCTTCAGGTAGTGGCAAAACAACTCTCTTGAAGATAATGGGAGGAAGATTGACAGATAATGTTAAAGGGAAGCTTACCTACAATGACATTCCTTATAGTCCCTCTGTTAAGAGAAGGTTAGATACCTGATGAGAAACTTCGATGAATATTATCATGCGCGCTCATCGATCTTTCACTCTGTTTTACAGAATTGGTTTCGTGACACAAGACGATGTTCTGTTGCCACAACTTACCGTGGAAGAGACCTTGGCATTTGCTGCTTTCTTGAGACTTCCAAGTAGCATGAGCAAAGAACAGAAATATGCCAAAGTAGAGATGATCATTAAAGAGCTAGGCCTTGAAAGGTACATGTTTAATGTTCCTTAAAATTGTGAGAATTGAATACATTTCTTGCAAGTACTAAACTAAATTTTCTTGGAAAAAACCGTAAAAGATGTCGTCACACGAGAATTGGAGGAGGTTTTGTCAAGGGAATATCAGGTGGAGAAAGGAAAAGAACGAGTATCGCATATGAGATTCTCGTTGATCCTTCTCTTTTGCTTCTGGACGAGCCAACTTCTGGACTTGACTCCACTTCTGCAACCAAACTTCTTCATATTCTTCAAGGAGTAGCCAAGGTATCAACATTTAACTTATATTACTAGCAAAGCTTTTGAAAGATATGGAAGCATAAGATTCAATCTGTCTTTTGCAGGCAGGAAGGACCGTCATCACGACAATTCACCAACCATCGAGCAGAATGTTTCACATGTTCGACAAGCTCTTATTGATATCAGAAGGCCACCCTGCCTTCTACGGCAAAGCCAGAGAAGCTATGGACTATTTCTCATCTTTGAGAATCTTACCTGAAATTGCAATGAACCCAGCAGAGTTCTTGCTGGATTTGGCAACCGGACAAGTATCAGACATTGGTCTCCCGGACGAATTATTGGCTACCAAAAACACTGAAACTGATTCCGAGGCAGTAATAGTGAAAGTAAGGATCACATCAAGTCATAGACTTGTGTGTTATGATCAATTATGGGACTCAATTCTAGTGTTATGATTTGCAGTACTTGCAGCTAAAGTACAAGACAGACTTGGAGCCAAAAGAGAAGGAAGAAAACCATAGAAATAGAAAGGCCCCAGAGCATCTTCAAATAGCAATCCAAGTGAAAAAGGACTGGACACTTTCATGGTGGGATCAGTTCTTGATTATTTTCAGAAGAACATTCAGAGAACGGCGTAGAGATTACTTTGATAAGCTAAGGCTAGTTCAATCACTTGGCGTGGCCGTTGTGTTGGGTCTTCTCTGGTGGAAATCAAAGACAGACACAGAGGCTCATCTTAGAGACCAAGTAATGAAACTACATAGGTTTTTTGGGATTATATGTAAGCTATAGGCCTCCAAATTTATCTGGTAAGCTTGTGCTGCAGGTTGGTTTGATGTTCTATATCTGCATCTTCTGGACATCTTCATCTCTCTTTGGAGCAGTATATGTGTTCCCATTCGAGAAGATCTACCTGGTGAAAGAAAGAAAAGCAGACATGTACAGACTAAGCGTGTATTACGTATGCAGTACACTCTGTGATATGGTCGCGCACGTTTTGTACCCGACATTCTTCATGACCACTGTCTACTTCATGGCTGGATTCAGGAGGACAACCCCCTGCTTCCTTTTCACCTTGTTGACAATACTACTTATAGCCATAACTAGCCAAGTAAGCACATATAAAGCTTCAGAACTTCTCTCTCTCATTCGAAATCGAATCAAATGTTTTTGCTCGATGTAATTGCAGGGTGCAGGAGAGTTCTTAGGAGCTTCAGTATTGAGCATTAAGAGAGCTGGTATGATCGCCTCTTTGGTACTAATGCTGTTTCTTCTTACAGGAGGTTACTATGTTCAGGTACCAAAACTTATGACTTGTATGGATCACTCTCCCTTGTGAATCATAACAACAAGCTGTTCCAAAAATTTAACTGCTTATACTAAACAAAATCTGATTTGCCTTTGAACTCGGAATGCAGCACATACCAAAATTCATGCAGTGGTTGAAGTACTTGTCCTTCATGCACTACGGGTTCAGGCTTCTTTTGAAGGTTCAATACTCGGGGGACCAACTTTTCGACTGTGAAAGCAAAGGTGGCTGCAGGACACTGCAGAGCTCATCATCCTTCGATACAGTCAACTTGAATGGAGGCTTGCAAGAACTCTGGTTTCTGCTTGCCATGGCATTTGGCTACCGCCTCTGCGCATACTTCTGCCTTCGCAAGAAAATCAGCATTTGCCATTTCTGATAAAGAAAATGTTAACCGAGAAAGACAAAAAAAAGAAAAGCTTATACAGAGATCAGAGACAATATCATCAAGCTATTTCCAATTTTGGTGTCATTAATGAATAAGAACACAGTAGGAATCTGGGAAATAGCATTCATAAGCTTTTGATATAAACCATAAAATAGTTGCTGGTTTGGCTTATGTTTTAGTACAGAGACATCATAAAATCTCAAGACAGAATCAAAAGCTTAAGATCATTCATCATACAGACAAGTAGCAAATTAACACACTCTTATTCAATCACTTCATGTATCTGTGCAGGAATTTTCTGTGGAAGTCATTCCTAATTGTATCATTGATGAAGCGCTTCGGTGCTTTCATTTCACCACGTGCCTGGTTCTTGAATACAACATCATCATCCCACCTGAAAACGAGCAAAATAGCTTTCAGAATCTGCCTCCAACAGTTGATATAATCCCAAGATTCATGAAGAAAACAAGATTTTCAAAAGATACTAACCTCCTTTTAACACTAAACGAAGTTGGAGCGTTAAGCAGTGGGTTTCCTTTGAGAAGTTCCTCTTCCTTGGCATTTAGCTCTTCCATCTGCTGCTGCTTTTCCTGGAAAATGTGAAATGATACATATATTACTAACAAAGAAGCACACTAACCGTAACAAGACAAATCTTCCTTACGTCAACGGATTTACAAATAAACCTATCCTATCCATTTTAAACAGTAATCTGAGAGCTTACCTTCCTGAGCCTCTCCTCCACTCTTTCTTTCTTTATCTGGTCGAGTTCAGCCATAAGAGCTTCAGTG